TTCTCTAATTTCCATGCTCATGGGGTTTTCTTCCTCATGTGACTTCATTTTCTCTCCTTGAAGGGAGGAGAAGCAGCCAATCTCCAGGCAGTAAGGGAGAAGCTAGGATTTAAAAAACTGGTGTATAAAGTTAGGCTCTAATCTAGGGGCAGGTGTCTAAACAGGTGGTCTCATTTTTAAGTGCTGAGCATCCAGTAGGCCCCAATTAAGGCCCCTGCTAGCCAGCAGGCAGCCCCCTCAATGAAACACCCTAATGCCCCAGTCAGTGCCATCAGCATCTACACATGCATTGTGGCTCACTAAATGTCACCGTAGAATAGTACTTGTGTTTACAATTGTTATTGCTGAGTGTTTCATACTTTTGAAAGTCAGATCACTTATTTATGGATAGGGATATAAGTATCTATTTAAAAAATGCTGGAGAATGTAATGCACTAAGATTCCAATACAATTTATTGTGGCTTCTGAGTTTTATTTTATTGTCCTTCGTATTTTCAGGACCCAGGATCTATGGCAGGATATTGCGTTCAGTGAAGCTACCACACGTGATTCAAGGCAGGAATTTCTGCCTGACTTTTGAGTTTGTAATCTCTGAACCCCAGACACATGGAGACAAGCTTTATTTACTTTGAGGGTGAATAAAATATTGTGAATGAAAGGGAGAGAGTTGTCATCTTGCATGGTACTAAAGTGTGGATAAACCTCTACAAATGCTGCAGCTAATAAAGATTCACTTGAAGCACAAAGAAGGAGGAAACCCGCTTTCTACCCCTGATGCTCTCTGAGGGCAGTTTAAATGCCAACCAGTCAGCCACACATTTGATGAGAACTAGTCAGCCACACATTAGATTAATGTCGCAGTGTCTATAAAATTAAATGCAGAGCATTGCCTGACTCCGCAAAGGTTCTCACTAGTGTACCATGGCCCAGCCCAGTTTATCTCCCTCAGGATGAAGTATAAGTTCATTATAGCCCTCCGCTGAGCCCCCTGTTAAAGAGCACCCTGAATTTTACCTGGGACTATATGAAAAATGACAAAGAAAGGTCAGAGATTAGGTAAAAGAGTTGAGTTAAGGCAGCGTGAGACCATGGGCAATAGTGAAGGATTTATTTTCCTGGATTTATATCAGCTCTTTAGGCCAGATTCCAGGTCTTGCAGCTACAATTCACTGTGGCAAACACTACAGCTGCGCTCTTCATTCACTCCAGCATGGGAGCTTTATCACTCTTGTCCAATCAGGTGGTGTTTCATATTTACCAACATTGCTGATAATGATTAAATGGAATTTCTCAGCACAGACAGTAGCATTATTAGCAACTCTCTCTGATAGCTATCATTTGCGAAGCAGAGGTTACAAGCTTTCATGAGGAAAGTGGTTTTAACACTCTAATAGAGTGAGAGAGAGAGAAAAGCTCTCTCCAATCTGTGAAAAACAAAATGCTTGGGCTGTATTACAGCTAAAACTTCAGGAATTAAGAACGTGTAGAAAGTAGAGCCAATCCTATCCAAGCTAATGCAGCAAAAGGGAGTAAAAAATGCAGAGGATCTTTCCTGCCAAGCTGCTACAGGAGCAGAACAAGATCCCACAGAGGGAGGACCAGTGGTAGTTGTTCCTCTGAACCAGAGCAACTAGCCTCAGTTGGCCAGATCTTGCTATCAATGGCAATAAACACATGGTTTATGTGGGGGAATGCATCTGCCCCCTGGCCTTGGGTTAGCAGCCTGTGGGGAACTGGAATTTGCCCGAAAACCCATTGACTCAAAGGACAGTTTTCAATTGATTTGAATGAGCTTTGGATCAGGCTCTCGGTGCATGGGCTGATCCCTTAGTTGACTATGCTGCCTGGTGCATTCATGTGTACTGTAAAAATAGCCTGCCTGGCTGATAGCGTGTACCTCTCCCATAAGTGTCTATGGGCCAAGCACAAGAGATGACATGAAGGATTAGCTTGATATAGCATCACTTCTTCTAAACCTGTGTAGATTGGGTGTTTATGTTTACCTACATGTTTACAGTGCAGTCACAGGATAATTATTATATATTAAAATACCTTTAGAAGCACCACTGCTAATTATTATAGTCTGCATTATCTAGATGCATACACCTTTTGCACAAAAAAGTCTCTCTTATTTTGCTAACTGCTTAAACATAAAACTCCAACAGAAAGAAATTGTTCCCGTGACTCATATTTTTCATCATTTGGTCATTAAATAGTGATGGATATAAACCTATAAAGTACCTAAACTGAACCTTTTAACAATCCATGAGCAATACTATCATTTCTTTAATAGAACTCGCTGACCGTGCCTTTCTCAGATGCCATTTGTCATTTTCAGCATGCAATAATCAATAACTTGGCTTTGAAATAAATAATATAACAGTCACAATATATTATCTTTCAGGCTGGCCTTATACTAACCATAAAATAGGACTTGGGAAGATGAAAACTTTAGGTAAATGTTAAAAATGAAATAACACTGAAAACAGGAGCTAAATGAACTAGAAGCTTGCACAGCTTCCTTTCCCAATCCATTTATTATTCCCTTCCATTTAGAAAAATATAACTAGTTTCAGAATGGCACAAAAATCTTGGACAGTCTGATTTTAAGTTTAGGGCTACCAACATGTCCTCGAGTCACCCTTGTGCCTAGTAGCCATACCCCAGTTGACCAAGACAGCCAAGCATAGTCTTAAATCTATTGCTAGTCCACAAAACACTTGGAATATAGGCTAAATTTTAAATATGTCACATTAAAATCAGTGAGACTTAAAAGCCTATCCAAATGAGGCATGTACTTGGAGCCAAATGCAAAGGTATTTAGGCACCCAAAGATTCACACACACACATATATGCACACACACAGAAGGAGCACCTGAGCAAGCTAGGTGCTTAATTTCCATTCACGTACATGAGTGAACAAGGCCCTAGATCCTAAATATCTTTGTCGAATAGAAGGGAAGGATCAGAGCTCTTGAGCATAAAATATACAAGGCCCAGCTCAGGAGGAAATGGCAGCCTTCGTTCTGCATTTTTCTTGCTTAGTTGGGGTTTGATTAAAACCTTAAAATGGTTTATATATTGATTTTTCTCTTGTTTGTGCTAACTAGCTTTGCTCCAGGGCCATGACAGCCAGACTGAAGCCCCCAATCTATTCCAGACATTCCAGTTATGATTTGTAGTTGGACCTGCATATCCAAAAAGTTATAGTTCTGGGGCAGATGCAAACCAGAAAGAACCCAGCTTTCTGAATATATTTCAGATTCACCAGAATTCTCAATGGAATAAGTGATCTCATGAGGGTCTCATTATTTTAATTGGCACTGCTTGGGAATTCATTTCAGAAAATAAATTTACTTGAGTGAAATATCATCAAACTCAAATGGAAACCTCAGAGCAAGTTTATCTACAAATACAAACTCCAGTGCAGATCCAAACACCATCACCTTGATCACAGTGTTTATGAGCAGTGACACACACACACACACACACACACACAAGAAAATGAATATCTTTGATATAGTTTTGAATATCCTTGTGTTTTTTTAGCCATTACTTTAGTAAAGTTAGGGGGGTTCCTACCATTCATATTCCACAATGACATGCTATTACCCACCTACTAGGACTCTGCATGGTAAAATACTACATGACTAAATCTGCTCTGTCAGCATATAAATCTGGAGCAACTTCACTGAAGTAAATAGAATTATACCAACAGAGAACAGATAGAAGTAACTATCAGGCCAAAGTATTGATTCAGTACTTCCTAGTCACATCTGGTCTTGACTATTATAGCTGAAAAATATACCTGATATATCCTATATATAAATATGCATTCTGTACTTTGCAGAATATTTCTGTATTCACAGTCCAGTAGAAACCTGTAGAAAATGTACACACCCATAATTCAGGATACATACATATTTTAAGAATGTGTCACCTCTTCATCAATAAGAAAGAGAAAACATATTAGGTACTTAACAGCTGGAAATGAGGATACAACCAGCAGTTACCAAATGTAAATTACTCCCTTTAGCACTACAGCTGCTTGGTTCTACCAGCTTTAAAGTGCCAGCCTCCAGCAAGGCATGCTGGGGAAAAAAGTGTTCTCATAAGAGGGCAGTTCTCCCATAGGAAGAGTTATCTGGGAATAGGTAGTTTCCAAGGAGGGTGCTTTGAGAAGGGTTGCTTTGGGGATGGGCTTACTTGTTACCCCTGTGTCACTGAGTAGGCAGAATTATAGGCACTAAATGAATTTTAGGAAGCAAGATACTTGCAGGGGAAATGCCTCAAATAGATAAAAGCATAATCCTCAGCTAAAGTGAAGGGTTTGATTCTTTATTTTTAATTTGGAGGTGTGTGGAAGGGGTGAGCAGCATTAGCAATCAGTAAAAGAGAAAACACCATAAGCTGGACCAGTGAGGAGCATCCTTTTTTAGGACAGGCATGCCACAGCCTAACCTTGCACTGTCCTCAAGCATCTCTCTGACCCCCCTGCCAGATGTGCTGCTCTGCTTTCTGCTTCCTTCCTTGTCTGCTGTGCTGCTTGTCTTCTCCCTGTTCTGCTGTGTGCCACATAGAGAAGCTGCCTGTGCCACTTTTTCATGCATGCTGCAGGTTGGGCACTGCTGGGCTGGACCATAAGCTCCTCTTCCAAGTCCAGCCAGCTCTCTTGGAAGGAGAGGAGTAGAGAGGGAGGCAGGGCTTTTTTGCTCAGCAGTTACCTTTACCATTAGCATCAGCACTAATATATGAGCAGCCTCTATGCTTCCCAGGGCAGTTGTATCTAAGCCATGTACCCAGCTGCACAGAGGAAGGGGCTCTTCCAGTGCTCCTACTCCCTTCTGTATTGAGCAGTGCAAGGCACAACCTGGACTGAAGTGATTCAAAATTGGTATATTAACTACTTTAGTGATTGATCATTTTCTTACTTCAGTAATTAGCCAAATTTGTAAACCTCCCCACTGACAAACACCAACTTTGTGAACAGCCACATACCTTGCAGCACCTTCCAGGCACCCAATGCTCAGTGCCACAGGATATTATTCTTTAGTTTTTGTCTATTCTTCTGTTCTTTATTTTTTGGCTACTCTTTACATGAGGACAAATTGTTTGAGGGCCAGGTCAAGGCTGGAAGAGGCAGAGGCCTGCATGAAGTCACTGTTAATGTTATGATGTCACTGCCCAACAACTAGCTCCTCAAAAGGTAGCAGAAGTTGACAGGAACAAAAGGAGAGCAGACTTTATACAAAATGAAATATATTATCTGGCAGCTCTTTACTTTGACAGCACTGACACTGAGTGGTAATTGTTCCTGGTTAAGAGCTGCAGGATGGACACAAACTCAGTTCTTCTAGCCTTGCACTGAGAAGTTACCTGTTGAGCAAAGTATCGCTCTAGCTCAGAGGCAGATTTTGCTCTCGTTTAAATTACAACTAAATGGCCCAGTGACTCCTATAAGAGCAGGTATTTTGAAGGCTGTCTTCAGAGTTTCTTTGTTGAGATCTAAGAGAGATGAAGCATCTCCTTTTTCCATAGACCAGGCTGTTTCTAGAATAAAGGCATTAGCTTTTATGGAATCAAAAGGATCCAATAGCTTTCCCACACATGTCCATAGCACATGGGGACTGGAGACCTGTGTATACCTATTTCAGATTTATAAAGAACGAACTAAGCCCTGGGAAATCTCTACAGTTGTTATGATTAGTAATAATCAGCAAAGCTCTCTGCAGCAATTATAATTGGCAGTGTCTCAAAACAGGCGACTCAAGTGTGTTCTTTGACCAAGCATCATCCCATTCCCACCAACTGCTGAAGAAAGAAAAGTGCATTTGC